CTGCTCATGTTGCATGTATGCAGCATCTTTGTTTGGATCAAGATTAAAATGCAGTGGTTGCCTCTAATTTTAAATGTTAAGAGCACAGACAAAGCCTTAGTTTGTTTATATGAAGAGATTTCTTTTATTTGTGTTACTTATTTATTTGATTTGGGGCTTGTTTTAAAATTTCAAATTAGTTTGTTATTTACATTTACATTATATTTATATTTTGTTATTTAGCAGATGCTTTTATTCAAAGTGACTTACAAATGAGGACAAAACCAACAAAAGAGCAATAATAGTAAGTGCTATATTAGTATATTATTTCACAAAGAAACGTGCAGAATTTTGTCCAAGCAATAATAAAAGGACACATTTAATTTATAATTTGTCTTAAATATCATTTTGTTTAAAAAAACGTGAATCGAATCGTGAGTTGAGTGAATCGTTACATCCCTAATGCACCATATAACATATTAATTCTATTTTTTACTGTTCTTCAATGTTTAATTTATGTTTGAATAAATCCATCAAGTTTTTTTTGACAGCCACCATTTAAATGTTTATATTTTAATAAAACGATTTGAAATAGAAATATTATTATGTAACTGTAACTTTAATATTGTAAAAACTTCATTAATTTTAACCTTCAATATTATAGAATTGAAAACACCAAAAAGTGTTTTTTGTTTTTTTAAGGTCTCTTTCGGTTATTCACCCCTGTTAAGGGTGTGTAATTATTATTTGTTGTTTTTTCTTCTCTTTTTTCTTTCGACTCTTATGGGGCTAGTTGTACATGATTGCCATGTTGGATTGTATTAGGGCTGGACGATATGGCCAAAATTTATATCACAATATATTTCTTAATTTTGGTCAATAAGATATAATTCTGATATCGATATGATAAAAAAAAGCCTCAAAAACGCCCACAACAGATGTCTGTACCTAAACCTATGAAAAATTAATTTGCTAAGTCTATGAAACCTTCTTCTATAAAATTATATATTTTAGAAAAACAAATGGCACAAATAAATGAATGCTCACCTTTTATTTGTATTTAACCTTCAGACAAAGAAGACATGTGAAATCACTGTCAAATAATCACCTCAGACTTACCTTATTAATAGTCATATCTTCAAACTATAGGCTAACATACACTACCAGTCAAATGTTTTTGAACAGTAAGATTTTTTATGTTCTTTAAAGAATTCTCTTCTGCTCACCAAGCCTGCATTTATTTGATCCAAAATACAGCAAAAACAGGAACATTTTGAAATATTTTTACTATTTAAAATAACTGTTTCTATTTGAAAATATGTTATTCCTTTGATTTCAAAGCTGAATTTTTAGCATCATTACTCCAGTCACATGATCCTTCAGAAAACATTCAAATATTCTGATTTGCTGCTCAAAAAAAAAAAAATTATTATGTTGAAAACAGCTGTAGAAATTGTTCTGGTTTATTTAATGAATAGAAAGTTCAGAAGAACAGCATTTATATTGAAATAGAAATCTTTTGTAACATTATAAATGTCTTTATCATCATCCAGCATCCTTGCTAAATAAAAGTATTGATTTCTATATTATCTATATTATATACTATATTATTCTATATTATATAATATTATCATCATTAACAACAATAAAACTAAATACATTTTGCTGTGTTACCACGCTGAAACAATTCCTATTGGTTGTTTTAACTTATTGCTTTGATCATGATTGGTTAATCTGGCTGACTGGCTGTCATCTAGGTGTAACGCCCCTGTGGACTGTTTATTGTGGTTTCTTAGATAGATAGATAGATATACGCTATACAATACTCGGCAGTGGGAAGGGATCAGCGTGAGTGTTGTATAGGGAATGTGTGATTGAATACAGCTGTGTGCAATCAACTGTGTGTGTGTGATCAGTGCAGTGGATGATGGGAACTGTAGTCTGGGTGAAGTGCAACAGTGGTGTGGTGCAAGAGTCCTATCAATGGCCATAGGAAGAGTGACCTCTGGTGGCGAGCAGACAGAAGTTCATGGACCGGATTCGTGACCGTTACGAGTAGCACTAGTGGTACGCAGAGGAATCACTACATTAAATATAAATTAATGTTAGTACATTCTTTATTTAAGATTTATATATACAGTACAGTTATTTAACTTTTGGTACAACACATTTTAATTTAATCATTATTTAAAAAATTAATTTGCCTGTTTGTAAGCACAGTGCCGTGTTAATGTTCAAACTGTGTATTTTACATTGTTAAAGTGGCTGTCAACAATAAATATTCTTATTAGGAATAAAACTGCATAATTTTTTAACTGTGCAGAGCTGTAGCTGAATAGTTAGGCCTACTACACTGCTGAAATTGAATATTGGTCATTATGGTGGTACTTAGAGAGCCAAATATTTTCTGAAGTGGTACTTGGTATAAAACGTTTGAGAACCACTGGTTTAAAGAAATGGTATAAAATTAATCCTGCTTTTTAAGAACTTTTCAGTAAAATATTTATTCTCTCCCCTTGTAGAGTCATCAAGCATCCAGCTTATTATTGGTAAGGAATTGTTCATCTGCTACAACTGTGCAGAGCTGTAGCTGAATAGTTAGGCCTACTACACTGCTGAAATTTAATGTTGGTCATTATGCTGGTACTTAGAGAGCCAAATATTTTCTGAAGTGGTACTTGGTATAAAACGTTTGAGAACCACTGGTTTAAAGGAATGGTATAAAATTAATCCTGCTTTTTAAGAACTTTTCAGTAAAATATTTCTTCTTTCCCCTTGTAGAGTCATCAAGCATCCAGCTTATTATTGGTAAGGAATTGTTCATCTGCTACATTGCACTGTCACTTCTGGTAGAGATTAATTGACCTTTAGTGATAGGTTTTGATTTTACTTGGTTGAATAAAAATGTACTTAATTAGATTTTACTTGTTTTACTAAATACACTGTATAGTTAGGATTTTTATTAAAACAGTGTAACTGGGGGCTCTGAAAAAAACTGCTTGTGAATAATTTGTTAATATTGTAAACTTTCATCTGAATACATTAAATAAGTGTTTAATGAATAGTGTTGTGCACTTTGTTTCTAACCCCACTATTATTGAACTGTAAAGTGAAAATATTGTATGTAATTTGTTTTGCATTCAGTTAAAGATATTTCACAATATCAAATGTGATATTTTATGAGGATATAATTTCGGTGTTTTTGTTTCTATTTATACAGGACAGTACAGAAAGCGCACAACTTTAGTGATAGGTTTTGATTTTACTTGGTTTAATAAAAAAGTACTTAATTTGATTTTACTTGTTTTACTAAATACACTGTATAGTTAGGATTCTGATTAAAACAGTGTAACTGGGGGCTCTGAAAAAAACTGCTTGTGAATAATTTGTTAATATTGTAAACTTTCATCTGAATACATTAAATAAGTGTTTAATGAATAGTGTTGTGCACTTTGTTTCTAACCCCACTATTATTGAACTGTAAAGTGAAAATATTGTATGTAATTTGTTTTGCATTCAGTTAAAGATATTTCACAATATCAAATGTGATATTTTATGAGGATATAATTTCGGTGTTTTTGTTTCTATTTATACAGGACAGTACAGAAAGCGCACAAGTGGGAGAGCGTGGAGGGGATGGCATCATTACCTTTACCCATTATATCACAGACTCAACTTTTTCCGTACGACGACAAGATCTGTTCTGGGGATCTTTCGTATCCTCCGTCGCAATCTGCCGGCCCTAGGCTCACTCCTTTTCCCCCAGTCACCGCCGCCGAGCTTCATCGCGGCCGTCGCTCTGCTCGACCAGCCACACGCTCTCCACAACACCGAGGCTTAACCTCGCCTCCAACGGCGAGACTTCCAACTTCCCCGACATCCTCGTATCATTCGGCCATGCCAATATATCAAAGTGGATAGTATTGAAGGCGGAAACAAACGCTGATTTTTTTCCCCGATGAACCATTCTCACGGAGGGTAAACAAAGCTGATCTGTACGATCTATTCTTCATCCTGCAAATCAGCCAAGGTGGCCAATAGATCGAGCAAAGCCTCGAACTCGCCCACTCGACACTATCATTTTCCCGCACAAGACCCGGCTCACCTCGAGCCTTGGGTCGAAGCGGCAGGTCTTAAACGAGCCTGGGCTGCACCCCAGTTCTCACCGCAGCAAAACCTCATTCGCTTCTCGCTTCGGCTTAACTTTTTCCCGAGGCTCTTTCGGCCGCAGCGCCACATGTAGCCGGGCCTCCAGCTCACGTAGCAGTCGCTAGCGCGAGGCTGCCTCCGCTAGCACCGCAGGCCTTGTTGCAATAATATTAAGCAAAGTCGCTAAAGGTAGGTCGTTTGTTGTTAAAAGACGTGATGACATTATGGATGTTGATGTCATTTTTTGTAACCAAGACGCAAAACTGTGTAGAACACGCAATGAAATTACTCAAATTTTCTGTATTCATTTTCACTAGCTTTTTACCTGTATTTTAAATTGCACATTTTACTCGGATAGACAGATAAGATGAAAAGATTAGATTTTCGTGAAAATAAGTTAAACGGTGTACAATTTTAGATGCAAACCAACAAATAAGCTGTATCATAAAGAAACTATTATTATTATTGAACAAGTACAACTAGCAACCTAATTCTCTCCCTTTTCAGTGGTCTCCAGCTACCGTAGCACACTAGCGTGAGGCTGCCTCTGCAAGCTGTGCAGCATTTTCCCCCCGAATATCACAAGCCCCGTGGCCTACAGCTACAGCAGCTGAAACAAGCACAAAGCTGCTTACGCTTGCAACACATGCCCTCGCATCTCAGTCTTTCCTCCTGTTACTTGTAATCAGTACTTTTTCCTTTTCAGTGGCCTTCAGCTCCTATTGCACACACTAGCGCGAGGCTGCCTCTGCTAGCGGTGCAGGCTGTACAGGCTCTACAGGATGTCATAAACCCCACTCCCTTCCCGTGGCCTACAGCAGCTGAAGGAAGCGCAGGACTTGACGACTTTGTATTTTCTTCCATTACAGACATCACTGTACATATCCAGCTCCAGCGTAACAATCAGCAGGAATTTTAGTCTTCTTCAGTTTCTCCACCATCTCAGCCAGAGTGGTGTTTTTACCTATAGCAGGTCTTGGACTGACGGTCTGTCTGCACTGAGGGCAGCTGTAGACTGTAGGCAAAAGCCACCACAAATTAGCATCACAAACAGGACTGCAAAGGAGCAAGAAGGTGGAAGACCACTTTGGGCTGGCTGGACAGCAACACAAACTGTTCAGACATGAATTTACATTTCCTTCACCCTGAGGCGTATTCGTTTCACTTTTGTTGTGAAAGTGCTTTTACATTTGTAAAATGAGAACTTTTTATATTAAAAACAAACAAGCAAGCCTTGCCCAGATTTAAAAAGTAACGTAACGCATTACTTTCCATAAAAAAGTAATTAGTTATTAGTTACTTTTTTAGGGAGTAACGCAATATTGTAATACATTACTTTTAAAAGTAACTTTCCCCAACACTGCTGACCTTTGCTGAAGCATCCAATTGCATCAAGTCTGGCTTGACAGACAGTGTGCCCAAAGGCAGGTAAAGGACTGCCCCTAAACTAAGCACATAAAACCCCTGCTATTCCCTTCCTCAGTTGACATTCGCTTCTTGCGATCTCTGCACTTACACAGCCCTGAACCACCCACGCTCTCTATTGTATTAAGGTTGCCCGCCTTCTTTCATTATCTCACTTGCTCCCCTTTCCATGGCTGCCCACCACGTTTTATACTCAGCTTTTCGCCGGTATGTCCCTCTTTAAAATGGCTGCTTCTCTAGGGGACAGCTTATCATGGGCCTTTTCTTTCCTTTGCAGAATAACATTCTTGAAAAAGCAGAAATTGTGATTGGTCCATACATGACTGTAGGTTACTGGCACTGTAAATAAAAACTACACCTTGCACCAGAGTGTAGCTGCGGGCTGAGCCAGCATTTTACATCTTTTACGGACACTCACTAAACCCCAAGCAAGCTGATGGTGCTTGCTTTATTACAAACAGAATACTGTTTAAATGTATGTTTAAATCTGTTTACCATTGTTAAAGCAAAAAAGTAAGGGTATTTTGAGGAGTGAATGACACAGTTTCATCACCCTTGTTTAAGAAACACAATTTTTTTCTGTTTTAATTAAGACATGAATAAGCAATTATTCATTCTGTATATTTTATTCTTACAGATTATACGGTATTAAGCAATTATAGTTGTTCAAAAGGGTTCTATCCAGTTTCACTGATGATTATACAACTTTCTTGACTTAATAACAAAGAAAATCATGAAATAGCATCTAGTCTTTAATATTTTTTGTTTACAAATGTCTTTTTCTTTTTTTTATATCTGATAAAATAATGAAAGGACATTAAAGATAATGGACAGGAAATAAATGGAAAACCCATGTGTTCCATGAAAGCATCACAAACAACTGCAGGACCAAACTTTGCCCACTTTTTTTTTATGTTTATTTACATTCACTGTATTGTGGGAGGGTTTCTGCATGATGGTGGTTCATGGAAGAGCTGCTGACCACAGGTATCTGCAAAAAAAAAGAAAAAAATTGCAACACATGCCCTCGCATCTCAGTCTTTCCTCCTGTTACTTGTAATCAGTACTTTTTCCTTTTCAGTAGCCTTCAGCTCCTATTCACACTAGCGCGAGGCTGCCTCTGCTAGCGGTGCAGGCTGTACAGGCTCTACAGGATGTCATAAACCCCACTCCCTTCCCGTGGCCTACAGCAGCTGAAGGAAGCGTGAGGCTGCCTCCGCTTGCAACTCAGGCCCACACATCTCAGGCTTATCCTCCCGTTTCTAATGACCTTTTATTTTATTTATTTTTTTAAGTGGCTTCCAGCTCCCATAGCAGACACTAACCCGGAAGCCGATTTATACGTCAGGCTGCCTCTGCTGACAATTGCAGCCCATGCACCTCTTCCTCATAGCTCCCCACTTCATTCAAAATTACGTTGTCTTCCAGATCAAGTTCCGGCTCTAGGACTTGACGACTTTGTATTTTCTTCCATTACAGACATCACTGTACATCTCCAGCTCCAGCGTAACAATCAGCAGGAATTTTAGTCTTCTTCAGTTTCTCCACCATCTCAGCCAGAGTGGTGTTTTTACCTATAGCAGGTCTTGGACTGACGGTCTGTCTGCACTGAGGGCAGCTGTAGACTCTCATCTGATCCTCTTGATCCCAGTGGAATGTAATACAGCTTTTACAGTAACTATGTCCACGGGAAATCATCACTGGATCCTTCAGGAGATCCAGACACACTGGAGAGATTAACTCATCCTGAGAAAATCTGGCTTCTGTCATTTTACTGCATGAATACAGAGACACAAACACAGCAGCTAAGATACACGTCAGTTTCTCTTTCCCCTGAACTCTGGAGATTCCTGTTTCCTGGTTCTGGGTTTGTCTGACGTGTGAAAAACAGATGTCTGCAAATCTAAAGGTCACAGATTATAAAACATCCACTAGATGTCAGTCCCAGACAGACACTCAGATGAGAATCGGTGTTGAAGAGAGACGGAGCACAAAACAGATTCAAAAATTTTTACAAACCTGCAGTAATTAAATGTTAAATAAGACTTCAAATGTAATCCCATTTTATTAACCCAAGTCTTTGCTACTGACCATCGATGATCCAACTCAACCATACTAAGCAAAAATGATACATTTGTTTCATTTTTGTTATTGCTGAATAGTGTTGAACTTTCTTCTCTTGCGTCATATTCTTCATGCAATTTGTTTGAGCTGCACTTGTAGAAGATTTCTATTCATCAAAATATGAATTAATAAAGTATAATGTCTCTAAATGTATCCACGTGTGTATCAACTATTATGATCATGTGTTTGCCTGTGTGTATGGAGTTCTGGAGGAGAGTGGAGTGTGTGTAACTGATTTATTATAGTTATGTATTTAACTGTGTGTGCTCAAATATGATGAGCTGCTATTAAGAGAAGGATGATCTTGTGCTAACATATGATGAACTGAGATCTCTTTGTGTTACAATTACACAGTCATGAGGAGATATAGACTAGCAATAGGAACCTGAATGATAAGTAATTTTTATGGAAACCTACAGTATATAAAGAGTGTGTGAGGCACAGACTCAGCAGATTCTCTGCAGAGATTCATTATCTATGATAATAAAGTCTATCTTCTGGCATCAAAACCTCAAGTCTTTGAGAGTGATTTCTCAGAGCAGCGGCAAAAGCCACCACAAATTAGCATCACAAACAGGACTGCAAAGGAGCAAGAAGGTGGAAGACCACTTTGGGCTGGCTGGACAGCAACACAAACTGTTCAGACATGAATTTACATTTCCTTCATCCTGAGGCGTATTCGTTTCACTTTTGTTGTGAAAGTGCTTTTACATTTGTAAAATAAGAACTTTTTATATTAAAAACAAACAAGCAAGCCTTGCCCAGATTTAAAAAGTAACGTAACGCATTACTTTCCATAAAAAAGTAACTTAGTTACTTTTTTAGGGAGTAACGCAATATTGTAATACATTACTTTTAAAAGTAACTTTCCCCAACACTGCTGACCTTTGCTGAAGCATCCAATTGCATCAAGTCTGGCTTGACAGACAGTGTGCCCAAAGGCAGGTAAAGGACTGCCCCTAAACTAAGCACATAAAACCCCTGCTATTCCCTTCCTCAGTTGACATTCGCTTCTTGCGATCTCTGCACTTACACAGCCCTGAACCACCCACGCTCTCTATTGTATTAAGGTTGCCCGCCTTCTTTCATTATCTCACTTGCTCCCCTTTCCATGGCTGCCCACCACATTTTATACTCAGCTTTTCGCCGGTATGTCCCTCTTTAAAATAGCTGATTCTCTAGGGGACAGCTTATCATGGGCCTTTTCTTTCCTTTGCAGAATAACATTCTTGAAAAAGCAGAAATTGTGATTGGTCCATACCTGACTGTAGGTTACTGGCACTGTAAATAAAAACTACACCTTGCACCAGAGTGTAGCTGCGGGCTGAGCCAGCATTTTACATCTTTTACGGACACTCACTAAACCCCAAGCAAGCTGATGGTGCTTGCTTTATTACAAACAGAATACTGTTTATATGTATGTTTAAATCTGTTTACCATTGTTAAAGCAAAAAAGTAAGGGTATTTTGAGGAGTGAATGACACAGTTTCATCACCCTTGTTTAAGAAACACAATTTTTTTCTGTTTTAATTAAGACATGAATAAGCAATTATTCACTCTGTATATTTTATTCTTACAGATTATACGGTATTAAGCTATTATAGTTGTTCAAAAGGGTTCTATCCAGTTTCACTGATCATTATGCAACTTTCTTGACTTAATAACAAAGAAAATCATGAAATAGCATCTAGTCTTTAATATTTTTTGTTTACAAATTTTTTTTTTTTTTTAATATCTGATAAAATAATGAAAGGACATTAAAGATAATGGACAGGAAATAAATGGAAAACCCATGTGTTCCATGAAAGCATCACAAACAACTGCAGGACCAAACTTTGCCCACTTTTTTTAATGTTTATTTACATTCACTGTATTGTGGGAGGGTTTCTGCATGATGGTGGTTCATGGAAGAGCTGCTGACCACAGGTATCTGCAAAAAAAAAGAAAAAAAAAATATATATATATATATATATACCTTCATTCCAAAGGGCCCTTTGAAGTGGCCAGTTTTGAGAACTTCGGTTTGGAACGACCCTTCAATATGGTGGCCATGATTGTTTTCACTCCACTCTGGAGTTTGGAACGCACCGTAGAGCTACCTCAGGACTAAATTGAGGCTTAAATTAAACTAAAACTTAAGATTAATGCTGTTTCCAGACTTTAAACAATTATTGGCATCTTTGGTAGATATGAACAAAGAGCCTGTGAAAATAAATCTGCACTGTTATTTTTATTTATTATTATTTTGTATTCCAAAGAAAACCACACAAAACCATAACCTTTTATAGAAGTAAAATAGAAGCGAAAGCTCATTTTAATTTCAATACACTGTAGGCAGATTTGTAACATTTCCTGTTGATTGGAACTCCGTAATTATTGTCCTAATTGTGGAAATGGAAATGTTAAATGCTTTAGCTTTCTTTTTGACTTCCTATTTTGTGCTATTTTTTTGACTTCATATGTTGTGAAGTTCAACAATCTGTTGCAGCACAACAGAACTACATTCTTTGTTTTTTTCTCATTGTGGTGGATGATAAAGGGAATTTGGCCTTTGTGTTCCTCATATTTATAATACTGTGAAACAGGAAGTCATGGCTGGATAATTTCATGTTCCTATAGTCACACTGGTGTGCTAAAAGTAAGAAAAAAAAGTAAATATAGTAAAAATAAAAGGTAAATATGAATGGAATATAGATCTTCAGACATTATACTCATAAGAATTTCTAGAACTACAAATAATTGTGGACAATGTGTATAAGAGAAAACAATATTTTTATTATAATGTGATTTTGTTGAAAACATTTATTTTGTTTTTATTAACTTTTTTTCAATTAAAACGTCAAAAAATACAAGTTTATTTTCACAACCTTTATTGATCATATTTTCTTTGGGTGCCAATATAATTCTGACCATGACACTTTCTCGCTCTCTTTTATTCGACACCTGATTTAAAAAACAGTTTTCTCTTGTTCACTAACATTTTTTTATTGATTGTTTGTTTTATGATTGCAGTCTTTATTTCCGCTGCTATTGTTTTCTTTGGATTTGCCTCTCAGTTCCATACCATTTTAAGCTTTTCTTGGTTCATTCCATGTTTATAGGCAACCTCTGTCGTGCTAATTCAGATTAGCACAGTTGGTTTTAAATTAATCAAGTATATTTTAGTTCAGGACTCCATAGTCCAGGAGTTAATAATCTGTACTTAATCTGTGTTTCATTAAAAAAAAAAAGCCATTTTTAAAACCATGATTAACTATTCTAGATTAAGCCTACTCTTGGCTTAATTTAAACCCTGTCCAGGAAACCGCCCCTGAATCCAAATAATGCAACTGGGGTTCAAGCTTCTCTTACCTCTGAGCTGTTAAGATCATGGAAATGATTGGGCCTGAAATCAGGGGGCTGTGGATTTAAAACTTGAGGAACAAATGGCACCTTTGGAAAAATACACATGTAATGTTTTATGACTTAATGCTGTCAGATAATATAAATGCTATAACACTGGCATACAGTTCCAGTATTACAAGTATATAGACTGCATTGTACTTCAAGTGGAATTGGAAAAAAGCAAAAGACAGAAATCCTTCTGAAATTTCCTGGGCCCTCATTTTTCAACAGTGCGTAGAAAAGGTTCTATATTTTGTCCTACGAATGAAATTTAGGATGTGTATAAGTACAAAAAAAAAATCCATATTTATAAAAACGTGTGCATGTGGTTTTTGCGCACACCAGTAAGTAATTATTGTCGATAAATCCCACATTCTTAAGCACTATGCTCATCACGTTCATGGTCATTTGCATTCAGAAACGCCTCCAATTAACCATATATGGTAGCAACACCTCCCTTTATAAATCATGTGAATGTACATGTCCTCACCAAAATCATGGCAAAGAAAGCGGTACCGACTGAGAAGCCATTCTGTGCTCTCACTAAACAGATCAGCACAGTCTTTGAAAATGTGTTCTCTGCACAGCGCACAGTTTGCCGAATCTTCCGGGAAAGCGAGATCAGCCATGACACTATAGCTACATGTCAATTGCCTTCCCAGCTGTATTTTATAGCTTTTCACACCAATTTCATGTTCCTATAGTCACACTGGTGTGCTAAAAGTAAAAAAAAAAAAAAAGTAAATATAGTAAAAATAAAAGGTAAATATGAATGGAATATAGATCTTCAGACATTATACTCATAAGAATTTCTAGAACTACAAATAATTGTGGACAATGTGTATAAGAGAAAACAATATTTTTATTATAATGTGATTTTGTTGAAAACATTTATTTTGTTTTTATTAACTTTTTTTCAATTAAAACGTCAAAAAATACAAGTTTATTTTCACAACCTTTATTGATCATATTTTCTTTGGGTGCCAATATAATTCTGACCATGACACTTTCTCGCTCTCTTTTATTCGACACCTGATTTAAAAAACAGTTTTCTCTTGTTCACTAACATTTTTTTATTGATTGTTTGTTTTATGATTGCAGTCTTTATTTCCGCTGCTATTGTTTTCTTTGGATTTGCCTCTCAGTTCCATACCATTTTAAGCTTTTCTTGGTTCATTCCATGTTTATAGGCAACCTCTGTCGTGCTAATTCAGATTAGCACAGTTGGTTTTAAATTAATCAAGTATATTTTAGTTCAGGACTCCATAGTCCAGGAGTTAATAATCTGTACTTAATCTGTGTTTCATTAAAAAAAAAAAGCCATTTTTAAAACCATGATTAACTATTCTAGATTAAGCCTACTCTTGGCTTAATTTAAACCCTGTCCAGGAAACCGCCCCTGAATCCAAATAATGCAACTGGGGTTCAAGCTTCTCTTACCTCTGAGCTGTTAAGATCATGGAAATGATTGGGCCTGAAATCAGGGGGCTGTGGATTTAAAACTTGAGGAACAAATGGCACCTTTGGAAAAATACACATGTAATGTTTTATGACTTAATGCTGTCAGATAATATAAATGCTATAACACTGGCATACAGTTCCAGTATTACAAGTATATAGACTGCATTGTACTTCAAGTGGAATTGGAAAAAAGCAAAAGACAGAAATCCTTCTGAAATTTCCTGGGCCCTCATTTTTCAACAGTGCGTAGAAAAGGTTCTATATTTTGTCCTACGAATGAAATTTAGGATGTGTATAAGTACAAAAAAAAAATCCATATTTATAAAAACGTGTGCATGTGGTTTTTGCGCACACCAGTAAGTAATTATTGTCGATAAATCCCACATTCTTAAGCACTATGCTCATCACGTTCATGGTCATTTGCATTCAGAAACGCCTCCAATTAACCATATATGGTAGCAACACCTCCCTTTATAAATCATGTGAATGTACATGTCCTCACCAAAATCATGGCAAAGAAAGCGGTACCGACTGAGAAGCCATTCTGTGCTCTCACTAATATAATTCTGACCATGACACTTTCTCGCTCTCTTTTATTCGACACCTGATTTAAAAAACAGTTTTCTCTTGTTCACTAACATTTTTTTATTGATTGTTTGTTTTATGATTGCAGTCTTTATTTCCGCTGCTATTGTTTTCTTTGGATTTGCCTCTCAGTTCCATACCATTTTAAGCTTTTCTTGGTTCATTCCATGTTTATAGGCAACCTCTGTCGTGCTAATTCAGATTAGCACAGTTGGTTTTAAATTAATCAAGTATATTTTAGTTCAGGACTCCATAGTCCAGGAGTTAATAATCTGTACTTAATCTGTGTTTCATTAAAAAAAAAAAGCCATTTTTAAAACCATGATTAACTATTCTAGATTAAGCCTACTCTTGGCTTAATTTAAACCCTGTCCAGGAAACCGCCCCTGAATCCAAATAATGCAACTGGGGTTCAAGCTTCTCTTACCTCTGAGCTGTTAAGATCATGGAAATGATTGGGCCTGAAATCAGGGGGCTGTGGATTTAAAACTTGAGGAACAAATGGCACCTTTGGAAAAATACACATGTAATGTTTTATGACTTAATGCTGTCAGATAATATAAATGCTATAACACTGGCATACAGTTCCAGTATTACAAGTATATAGACTGCATTGTACTTCAAGTGGAATTGGAAAAAAGCAAAAGACAGAAATCCTTCTGAAATTTCCTGGGCCCTCATTTTTCAACAGTGCGTAGAAAAGGTTCTATATTTTGTCCTACGAATGAAATTTAGGATGTGTATAAGTACAAAAAAAAAATCCATATTTATAAAAACGTGTGCATGTGGTTTTTGCGCACACCAGTAAGTAATTATTGTCGATAAATCCCACATTCTTAAGCACTATGCTCATCACGTTCATGGTCATTTGCATTCAGAAACGCCTCCAATTAACCATATATGGTAGCAACACCTCCCTTTATAAATCATGTGAATGTACATGTGCTCACCAAAATCATGGCAAAGAAAGCGGTACCGACTGAGAAGCCATTCTGTGCTCTCACTAAACAGATCAGCACAGTCTTTGAAAATGTGTTCTCTGCACAGCGCACAGTTTGCCGAATCTTCCGGGAAAGCGAGATCAGCCATGACACTATAGCTACATGGCAATTGCCTTCCCAGCTGTATTTTATAGCTTTTCACACCAATTATGCAAATGTGTGGCTTGAACTATGAAATTATTAATAGAGTATTTATTAATTTTTGTAGTATAACCATTCTACCACTAGATTCTCTTTGTAAGCGTGCTCAGAGTTGTGCTTATATTTACACACATTCCTATGTATAAGTACAAGTTGGTAGATCCCAGACTTTGCGTGAAAGTTTTCTGACGCACACATCTGTGCATACGCACTGTTGATAAATGAGTGTCCTGGGGTCCGTTCTACGTATGTCGCTAACTCAGTTAGCTGGATTTGATTGTTGACGATTTCGCCAGATCTTGGATTGTTTGGTTCTTCAAAGCTCTTCCCGGAGTTGCTGTCATAGCAACAGGTCCATAAGCTTAAACCTGCTCAGGAGCAGGCTTATTTCATGTAAAAAGCAAAACTGATACTTAAAATCTGTCCCAGCCACTGCTAATTTATTAGAAGTGTACCCTACTGATCCAGGGACAGTAATGATATAAATAATGTTGTGTAATCTATAATACTATAGACACAGCCAGTTTTACTCTTTTAAATATTTATTCATGATAAAATACTCTGTCATGGTTTTAAATAGCCTTATACTTGGTATAGTCCCGAATTTTAATAGGCTGATTTCCTGGAGGAAGACTAGCCCCGTGTTCCATTTGGAAGGGCTCATCCCTATGCCCTAACCCTTCAAAGGATTTACCCTCCGGAGTGAGAGCTTCGAAGGGTTGAAGGGTGTAGGAGACCAAACAACTGTTTCTTAAAGTGCCCTTCTGCATCATCACCCCGTGTCCAGACGGAGGCGCCGTCATCATGCAAAGAATCTGTGCAAAGGATCATGGGAGCTCAAAGTGTCCATCAGTTGTTACCTTCAAAATCCTTCATTCCAAAGGGCCCTTTGAAGTGGCCAGTTTTGAGAACTTCGGTTTGGAACGACCCTTCAATATGGTGGCCATGATTGTTTTCACTCCAAAGTGGACTTTGGAACGCACCGTAGAGCTACCTCAGGACTAAATTGAGGCTTAAATTAAACTAAAACTTCAGATTAATGCTGTTTCCAGACTTTAAACAATTATTGGCACCTTTGGTAGATATGAACAAAGAGTGTGAAAATAAATCTGCACTGTTATTTTTATTTATTATTATTTTGTATTCCAAAAAAAACCACACAAAACCCTAACCTTTTATAGACGTAAAATAGAAGCGAAAGCTCATTTTAATTTCAATACACTGTAGGCAGATTTGTAACATTCCCTGTTGATTGGAACTCCGTAATTATTGTCCTAATTGTGGAAATGGAAATGTTAAATGCTTTAGCTTTCTTTTTGACTTCCTATTTTGTGCTATTTTCTTGACTTCATATGTTGTGAAGTTCAACAATCTGTTGCAGCACAACAGAACTACATTCTTCGTTTTTTTCTCATTGTGGTGGATGATAAAGGGAATTTGGCCTTTGTGTTCCTCATATTTATAATACTGTGAAACAGGAAGTCATGGCTGGATAATTTCGCATGTGGTTTTTGCGCACACCAGTAAGTAATTATTGTCGATAAATCCCACATTCTTAAGCACTATGCTCATCACGTTCATGGTCATTTGCATTCAGAAACGCCTCCAATTAACCATATATGGTAGCAACACCTCCCTTTATAAATCATGTGAATGTACATGTCCTCACCAAAATCATGGCAAAGAAAGCGGTACCGACTGAGAAGCCATTCTGTGCTCTCACTAAACAGATCAGCACAGTCTTTGAAAATGTGTTCTCTGCACAGCGCACAGTTTGCCGAATCTTCCGGGAAAGCGAGATCAGCCATGACACTATAGCTACATGGCAATTGCCTTCCCAGCTGTATTTTATAGCTTTTCACACCAATTATGCAAATGTGTGGCTTGAACTATGAAATTATTAATAGAGTATTTATTAATTTTTGTAGTATAACCATTCTACCACTAGATTCTCTTTGTAAGCATGCTCAGAGTTGTGCTTATATTTACACACATTCCTATGTATAAGTTCAAGTTGGTAGATTCCCTTTATAAATCATGTGAATGTACATGTCCTCACCAAAATCATGGCAAAGAAAGCGGTACCGACTGAGAAGCCATTCTGTGCTCTCACTAAACAGATCAGCACAGTCTTTGAAAATGTGTTCTCTGCACAGCGCACAGTTTGCCGAATCTTCCGGGAAAGCGAGATCAGCCATGACACTATAGCTACATGTCAATTGCCTTCCCAGCTGTATTTTATAGCTTTTCACACCAATTATGCAAATGTGTGGCTTGAACTATGAAATTATTAATAGAGTATTTATTCATTTTTGTAGTATAACCATTCTACCACTAGATTCTCTTTGTAAGCGTGCTCAGAGTTGTGCTTATATTTACACACATTCCTATGTATAAGTACAAGTTGGTAGATCCCAGACTTTGCGTGAAAGTTTTCTGACGCACACATCTGTGCATACGCACTGTTGATAAATGAGTGTCCTGGGGTCCGTTCTACGTATGTCGCTAACTCAGTTAGCTGGATTTGATTGTTGACGATTTCGCCAGATCTTGGATTGTTTGGTTCTTCAAAGCTCTTCCCGGAGTTGCTGTCATAGCAACAGGTCCATAAGCTTAAACCTGCTCAGGAGCAGGCTTATTTCATGTAAAAAGCAAAACTGATACTTAAAATCTGTCCCAGCCACTGCTAATTTATTAGAAGTGTACCCTACTGATCCAGGGACAGTAATGATATAAATAATGTTGTGTAATCTATAATACTATAGACACAGCCAGTTTTACTCTTTTAAATATTTATTCATGATAAAATAATTACTTTATAAATGTATTGGAGTATGCTATACAGTTAGTCTTAGTGGCTTGATGGAGCGCATTAGATGCAGATAACTTGATCTTGACCCTTAAGAAAGTTTAATTAATGCTGTCAAATAACAAATCTGTTTCAAAGATCAAATTAAATGAATTGCTAATTACAACATTGAAATAAAAATGTAAAGCCTGTGCAAATACTAGAAATCGTGAATATAAATAATTGGGAATCATGTAAAAAAAAAAGTATAAAATAAAAACAGTGCACATTTCATTGATCTATTATACCATTTATGTATATTTGGTATAATATTTTATATTTCCTTAAAAAAGTCCAGAAATTTGTCACGTTTTTCATCAGGTGTCTTTTTTAGTTATATGATGTAATTACGTTGCTGTCTCGCTGCCAGCCAATCGCTGCATTGCTGATCGTGGTCTCGAGTATCGATACATCTGCCCTTTACGGGGAACACAAGAACGCGCAGTAATCCTATACAACTTAATCCAGATATTTTAATCAAATTTGCAAATTTGTTTGAAGAACCAAATTAGCCAGAGATCAGTTATCACGATTAGAAGATCTGGCATCTTTCAAATCATCTCAGATGTATTAAGCGAGGTACGAAGAACGGGCCCCTGGTGTGGAACATGCTTTCATCTGGATTTATGAAAATTAATTCACATTATTTATACATTCACATAATTTTCAAAATTTTTGTGGACAGAAGTTTCATATTTGAGAATGATATGTTAAAAGCCAGCCACTGCTAATTTATTAGAAGTGTACCCTACTGATCCAGGGACAGTAATTTAAAATAATAATAATTCAAAAATGATATAATAATGTTGTGTAATCTATAATACTATAGACACAGCCAGTTTTACTCTTTTAAATATTTATTCATGATAAAATAATTACTTTATAAATGTATTGGAGTATGCTATACAGTTAGTCTGAGTGGCTTGATGGAGCGCATTAGATGCAGATAACTTGATCTTGACCCTTAAGAAAGTTTAATTAATGCTGTCAAATAACAAATCTGTTTCAAAGATCAAATTAAATGAATTGCTAATTACAACATTGAAATAAAAATGTAAAGCCTGTGCAAATACTAGAAATCGTGAATATAAATAATTGGGAATCATGTAAAAAAAAAAGTATAAAATAAAAACAGTGCACATTTCATTGATCTATTATACCATTTATGTATATTTGGTATAATATTTTATATTTCCTTAAAAAAGTCCAGAAATTTGTCACGTTTTTCATCAGGTGTCTTTTTTAGTTATATGATGTAATTACGTTGCTGTCTCGCTGCCAGCCAATCGCTGCATTGCTGATCGTGGTCTCGAGTATCGATACATCTGCCCTTTACGGGGAACACAAGAACGCGCAGTAATCCTATACAACTTAATCCAGATATTTTAATCAAATTTGCAAATTTGTTTGAAGAACCAAATTAGCCAGAGATCAGTTATCACGATTAGAAGATCTGGCATCTTTCAAATCATCTCAGATGTATTAAGCGAGGTACGAAGAACGGGCCCCTGGTGTGGAACATGCTTTCATCTGGATTTATGAAAATTAATTCACATTATTTATACATTCACATAATTTTCAAAATTTTTGTGGACAGAAGTTTCATATTTGAGAATGATATGTTAAAAGCTTGAACATTTAAAGGGGTGGTTGATTGCGATTTCACTTTTTTAACGTTAATGTGTAATGTTGCTGTTGGAGCATAAACAATATCTGCAAAGTTACGAAGCTGAATGTTCAATGCAAACGGAGATATCGTCTTTTAAAATTCTGGCAGTTTAATGCCTACAAAAATGGCTGGTAGGGACTACAACAAGTTACTTCCCGGGTTTGTGACATCACACACCCAGATAAACCCCACCCTCGGGAAAAGACAGCAAAGGGGGCGAGGCTATGCTGCGCTGCTTTAGAGAAGAGGAAGAGAAAACTAGAGGTGCACGTAAAAATCTATTCATATATGAATCGCGATTCTGTCTTCTAACGATTCTAAACTGATAAGTGATATTAACGACTCCGTTGTTTACAATACAACCGGAGCACATGTCGCTGAGGAGAGGGGCGGGACGTTTAGACGCGCACTAGAGGCGGTTTAGCCAATCACAACACACTGGGCTAGCTAACCAATCTGAGCCCATCGCCTATTTCTGAGGGCGGGGCTTCATGAAAACAGAAAAAGACCATCCCGTTTCTCAGAGAAGGGACAGAGCGGTGTGGAATAAAGGTAAATTATGTGAAAAATAATGCATTTTTAAAAAAACGAAGCATTAACACATGTTAGACTGCACCCCATAAACACAATCAAGCCTAGAACAAAACCAGTGAACCACCCCTTTAAGAGTGGTTCACACTTGAAAAAAACTACAACAACAAACACTACAAGTTACAATACAAAAACTTGTCTTAAATACTTCAAAGTATGTAGATATATCCATTATGTGTATACATATCTGAGGGGTTCATCGGACAGAAACGTTTGGGAATCAATTAATTGCTGCATTGCTCACCTGAGGAGGATAACAGCAACAGGAGACCTTACAAGCAAATACTGACAAACAGATGGAGATGATAAACTGAAGGAAGGTGAATAACAGCAATACACCACTGATTCCGCAGAAGAGGGTCTGAAAGAAAAATCAACATTAGCACAAATAATAATTAGATTAATATCAATATCTTCATGCATTGTAAATGATCATTAAGGAAAATATCTATAAACTATTTCTGAAATGTTGGGGGAAAGATGGGACAGATGAATGCAGGTTAAGGCTTGACTTTTGACAAGTGTACTGACAGCACAGTGATCTTACTGTACATAAATATGAATATTAAAGTTGATGACATACCTTGTATTTTCCCCGAACATAACATTCAGAATCGTTGCAGTTAGAGGAAAAGATGATTTGTGCTAGAACCAAATCCAGTGAAGTTAAAATAAGGGCAATGCCTGCGGTTAAAGCACTGAAAATGTTCATTCCAAGTGAACCATTCACCTATAGGCATAAAACCAACACAACGTTATTGAATGTGTTGTCTTAAAGTAGATGGAAAAATATATGGAAAAATGTATGGACACTAACTAATAACCGGGAATACAGGAAAAACAAGAACAGAACATTGAAAACCAAATATAAATGTTTTAAACAATGTTTTTTTGCTTGTATTTGTTGTTGTGTTTAAAATCTAACTACAACCATCTCAACACATTAATGACAGGGAAAGTCATGGCCTAATGGTAAGAGAGTCTGACTCATAACCCAAAGGTTGTGGGTTTGAGTCTCGTACCGGCAGGGATTGTAGGTGGGGGGAGTGAATGTACAGCGCTCTCTCCCACCTTCAATACCACGACTGAGGTGCCCTTGAGCAAGGCACAGAACCCCCAACTGCTCCCCAGGCGCCGCAGCATAAATGGCTGCCCACTGCTCCGTGTGTGTGTGTGCACTTTGGATGGGTAAATGCAGAGCCAGAACATTGAAAACCAAATATAAATGTTTTAAACAATGTTCAATCAAACTTGTATTTGTTGTTGTGTTTAAAATCTAACTACAACCATCTCAATACATTAATGACAGGGAAAGTCATGGCCTAATGGTAAGCGAGTCTGACTCATAACCCAAAGGTTGCGGGTTCGAGTCTTGTACCGGCAGGGATTGTAAGTGGGGGGAGTCCGGGCGCTGCAGCATAAATGGCTGCCCACTGGGCTGCCCACTTTCACTGCTGTGTGTGTGCACTTTGGATGGGTAAATGCAGAGCACTAATTCCGAGTATGGGTCACCATACTTGGCCACATGTCTTTTCAGTTTAATAAATGTATTATCAGCTCAAAACAATACACATTTATTTATTAATTTTTTTATGTAGCTGAGTCATATTAGAAGTTACATGTATGTTATGACATCCACCAAAGAAGATTCATTTTTACCAATCCTTCAGTTACGGTGTTAAGGAATTTTAGTTGTATAAACATATAGTTTTACAATTTTGATGCAATTTGGTGTGCATCTCTAATTTTCATTAAATTTTGGTTTTGTGTTAATGAGATAAAGACCAATTTGTGAAAAAATTTGTGATTATTCAAAATCAGTTTGACAGCTACTGTATGCTGTGAAGATTGGACCAACAAACCAAATGGAGTTTGTTTCAGAAAACTCAAATTCACCAAAAAAAAAAGAAACGAAAAATCTGAAATCATTACAGAAATCAGTAGATTTCTGTAATTAAATCAATAGGGTAATCAAACACAATAGTGTTCCAGCACTTTTGGTGCTTGGATCTCTAAAAATAACAAGTGGTGTGTACATACCAAACACAAACTGGAGGGTGAATTAAGTTTGTTTTCTGCAGCAATGCAGAGTGAGCCTGCAATAATGTACTGAGAGGAGAGAGAAGGGCAAATATTGAGGCTTTTGATGAAATATGTACAGATGGTACTCAACCAGAATAAGCTTTTTACCGCCATGTGTATCATAAGATTGTCTCATTTAAGACACTTGCTTGATTGTGTTTCCCATAGCATCAGCAGATGCAGTGTCTCATTCCACATCTCAGGGAACCATTGTTACATTTGAAATCTGCGACATTTTAGTTTGGAAGTAAACTTTGTGAATCGGGTTGTCATTCAGAGAAATGTGTGCATATGCGATGCAGATTTTCCAACCAGTGTGCTGAGTTCAGCCAATCTTTGAAAGACATTTCACAAAGGGCTGGCATAAAAATGGATATATAATAAATAGCATTGAATGACAAAACTGTTTGTTTGTGTTGTGTTCCCCCAACCATACGCACACCAAAACTGTAAAAATTTTGTATGAATCACAAAAATAAAATTTTGGCTTCAGAACAGATTTTGTAATCCTCATTTATACATCAAATCACAGAGGGAACACTATCACTGAACTATGTAACCAGCAAACATGAATAAGTTTAACAGTACTCACAATTTATGTAGACCTATACTAAAAATGTGTAGCCTTCGCTACGAAGGCTGTGTATGTGGCATACTGTATTAAATAATGTGGTCACGATATCGACAACAAAAAAATCAATGGTTTAGAAAAAGGCACATATATAATGTTTCCATTTTGATCCACATTTTCTATTTATTCTATGGCATAATTGCACATCTCTAAAATTTGTAATAATCTAAAATACGGCAATACAATAAAAAGTTAGCACACTTCAAGCACTACCATCACGGTACAATTTTACTGTAACAGTAGTCAAATAACTGGAACATTTAGTATTTAAATGATGACTAATTAGTCATGGTTAAATATTAGAATGCTACATTAATTGCCAGTAATTTAATTCATTATTTTATCTTAATTTATAAAGGAATACTACAGTTCTGTTTCATTCCTCCTGACCGCCAGAGGTGGTGCTAAGCACTAATGGATAATCGCTGTGCCAGCTAGATAGGTTGAGAAAAAAAATACCAACAGAGTCACGTCATGACGTAGACCGAGATGCGAGGATATAAACCACAGCAGCTCGATGCCCAGCCTCCTTGGCTTTCTCGCTTATGATAGGTCATTGATTAGCGCTGTCCCGTGCAGCTTACCTGAGTTGCGAGGATTCGCCCTCCCAAGCTGTGACAGCGCGCCCTGCACTATCATCGGATTTTCATTATGTGAATATACATTATTGCATTGTTGTGACGGCGAGACCCTGTGCTTCACGGTTCTATCCGGTGGCTGGTTTCGTGCAAGCTCTCCTTTGCCCCGCGGTGCTATCCGAAGGTAGTTCTGATCATTCACATGTGAGTCCTCTCTCTTATAAATCTTTCAGTTCTATCCGAAGATTTTATCAACGCCTGATCTTTCTGCGAGTGTGTTATATAAGCTTTGAGTTCCTACGGTGCTACCGAGGACGTATTTGACGGAGTCATGGCTCACAGCTCTCATATCTCCGAGCGTGTTATATAAGTTTTGAGTTCCTATGGTGCTACCGAGGACGTGTTTTGATGGAGTCATGGCTCACAGCTCTCATATTTCCGTCTCTCCACCGAGATGCAAACTGTGCCTAAACACACTTCTCCCCGACGATGGACACGATCACTGCCCGTCGTGTTTGGGGATTCAGCATCTGAAGGAAGCGTTGACTGATCCGTGTTTGCATTGTGCCATGCTGCTGCTGTCAGAAAGACAGCTTTGTCTTGCAGAGCTAGATCCTAACTCGTCTGCTAGCCTCGCACAGTCGTATTCAGCGCCACAGCGCACTCAAAAACGTCGCACATCAGCAGCTGCTGGCGCTCCGTCGACCAGAAAGAAATCGTCACCGCAGACAGAAATTTCGCTATCGAAGATCATTGCCACTCTCTCTTCAGAGATGGCAGAGTTGAAACGTCTTCTTCAGTCTTTACAACCCCCGGTATCAGCCATGTCCACTGGGAACAATTCCGTGAACGAGATTGATTTCCAACCCCCAAATACTATCGATTTAGATGTTCTATCTATGAGTGCATCTAATTCATATTTCCTTGATGAAGAGTTGGTGGATCCTGCCATGCAGCCTGGCCCCCCACAGGATGCTCTCTCCAGCCTGTCTGCTGCTTGTGGTTCAAGCGGTGGGTCATTCATCTAGTGCAGGCCAATCTTCTCCTGATGACATTCTTTCGATTCTGCAGATGGCAGTGGCTCGTTTGGGTCTTGATAACTCTATTCAGCCTGCTCAAACTAATGTGTTCTTCAAGCAAAATGCTGATAAACAGGCTCCAATGTGCCTAAGAGGAGGTCAGAGATAGCCCGCACCCTTGCCTCAATGGCTGAGGCTGACTATTGGAGTAGGTCGGGCACCTGAAATTGAACAGCCGGTGGCAGCATTGGTGGTATTGGTGGTACCAGATGAAGCGCTTAGAGGCAATGTCCGCTGCCCAAGTGCCCAATGTGGTCGTACTGACAAATTATTGAAAAAAGCAGTCCTTAGCCTACATAACTCAGGCAGAAAATACTATTTGCCAGCTGCTGCTCACCTGTAACACCACATTAGGGTCAGTGAATGTTGACTCCTCTGTACCTCAGTTATTACAGACTGCCCTGTTGACTATAGGTCATGTAACGCGTGAACTTGGGACACTCTCGGCAACCCTTCTAACAGCTCAACGACTGGGATGGCTTGCTCAGGCAAGGTTGCCTGAAGACTGTAAGAAGACATTGAGGGAACTGCCAATTGTACCGGGACATCTTTTTGGCCCCAACGTTTCTGAACTGTTAGAAAATAGAATGAAGTTGTCAGAGGCCACATGACAGTTAACACAGTCCCCACGGGCTCTTCCTTTTCGGATGCCATTGACACCAGCTCACCCACGTTACTTGAGTTCAGAGCAGCGGTTGCGTCACCATGGTGGATCTCAACTTCAGATGCCGCAACGACACAGAGTGGCTGAAGATACTCAGTCACAACCCCCCCTGCAGTTTCAAAGGGCAGAAACCCTGAAGTTTCTGGCCCGGCAGTCGGTCATTTCACTACACAGCACCTACATTACTGGGAAACATCGTACTTCCTTGTTCCAAAAATGGATGGCGGTTTCAGGCCAATTCTGGATCTTCGACGCCTCAAGATGTTCCTAAAATGTCTCCGTTTTCGAATGTTGTGCACAGTCAACGTTCTTCGATCTGTGATGAAAGGAGACTGGTTTGTGAGTGTAGACTTGAGGGATGCTTACTTGTTCCCATTGCTCCCCACCACAGGAAGTTCCTAAGATTCCGGTTTCAGGGTCAAGTCTATCAGTTCAGAGTCCTGCCATTCGGGCTGTCCCTAGCTCCTCGTGTTTTCATAAGAAGCATGAATGCGGCTCTGTCTCCTCTTTGGTCCAAGGGCATGAGGATTCTGCCTTATTTGGACGATTGGTTGCCCTGCGCCCCAACAAAAGTGCACGCTCTAAGCGATACTGAGATTGTTCTGGATCATATATAGAAGCTAGGCCTTGCAGTGAACGAAACAAAAAGGTAATTTGGCTCCGGAGCAGACCATAACCTTCATAGGAATAACGCTCAATTCTGTCGCAATGTCTGCCACACTGTCTCACACTCGGACAGTCAGTATTCTTCATTTGTTGACTCGTTTTCGTCTGGGGGCAAGGATACCTTATGGTGTCCTTTCACAACTGATGGGGATGTTAGCTGCCGCCACATCCGTGATTCCCTTAGGGTTGCTTCACCTCAGGCCTCTTCAGAGGTGGAGCAACAGCTTAGGGCTAGACTCAACGAGACATCGCCATCGCATGATTGTTGTTTCTTCTGCTTGTGTCAGAGCACTGAAACCCTGGAAACGGGTAACATTTCTGAGGGCTGGAGTGCCACTAGGAGTGGTGCCTTCTCGCCGGGAAGTGATCACAACCGATGCTTCACTAACAGAATGGGGGGCAACATGGAACCAGAGGGGGATTGGTGGCCACTGGTCAACAAAGGAGGCCTTAGAACATATCAATGTTCTGGAACTGAAGGCGGTGTATCTAGCACTACAACACTTCTTACCAAATCTGTTAGGCCGCCATGTACTTGTCCGATCCGACAACACATCAACAGTCTTTCATTTGAATCACCAGGGCGGCACCAGGTCTCTTGTATCTTTACAACTAACTCGCAAGATCCTCAGATAGTCTCAAGGCCGACTGGCTTCATTAAAGGCAGTTTATCTTTCAGGATCGGACAATCAAGTGGCGGATGCTCTGTCCAGGGATCTATTGGTTCCGGGCGAGTGGAGGCTTCACCCGGATGTGGTGCAACTGATTTGGAAACGGTTCGGCAAGGCAGAGGTTGATCTATTTGCCTCGGAGCTAATCACGCATTGCCGTTGGTGGTTTGCGAGGGCAGAGGCATCCAGCCCATTGGGACAGGATGCGTTAACTCACAAGTGGCCGAACTGCCTATTGTACACGTTCCCTCCTTTTCCACTTCTATGGGACCCCCTACACCGAATATTTCTTTCCAAACACAGGGTGCTTTTAGTGGCACCTCGTTGGCCAGCCAGGTCATGGTTTCCTCTTCTTCTGAGTCTGTTACTGGGCGAGCCGTGGCAGCTTCCCATCAGACAGGACCTCCTTTCTCAGCTGAATGGCCATGTTTGGCACCCGGATCCAGCTCGACTTCAGCTTTGGGTTTGGCCAGTGGGTCCACTTCTCAGTTAACTGATTGTGAGCCAGCAGTTCTGAACACTATTGGTAATGCTAGGGCTCCTTCCACTTTATGCTACTCGTTGGGAGGATTTTTTTCATCTTGGTGTGGGGAACAAGGACTTGACACAGTTCATTGTACTGTGCCAAAAGTATTGAGTTTTTTGCAACATCTCTTAGATGACAATAAGGCGGTTTCTACCGTAAAAACTTATGTTGCTGCCATCTCTACTTATCATGCCCCGGTCGATGGTGCATCCTTGGGGTCTCTCAACCTTGTATGTAGCTTTCTGAAGGGAGCAAGGCATTTAAAGCCTGTTTGTTCTCCTTTTCCTGTTTGGGATTTGCCGCTTGTTTTAGAGTTTCTTTGTACACCACAGTTTGAGCCATTGGATGTGGTGGATATTAAGTGGCTGTCCTTGAAAGTGTCTTTTCTGTTAGCCGTTGCTTCCGTTAAACACGTTGGTGAGCTTCATGCTCTGTCAGTAAGTGAATCGTGCTTATGCTGGTTGCCAGAGGGTTCTGGGGTCATTCTTCGGCCTAATCTGGCCTTCCTTCCTAAGGTCTTGTCACCTCAATTTGTAAACCAGTCTATTCATCTGGCTGCTTTTCAATCTCCTCTTTCTCCCTCTGATGCAGTCGGGGGGAGGTCTCATCTGCTGTGTCCTGTACGAGCTTTACGGTGCTATGTTAAGTCTACTGCTTCTTTCAGACAGACTGATCAGTTATTTGTCTGTTATGGTGAAGTATGCAAGGGTGCTCCTTTGTCTAAGCAAAGACTAGCATGCTGGATTGTCGAGGTGATAAAGCTAGCCTATAGTCATTCTAACCAACCTTTACCAGTGGGTGTCACTTGTCACTCTACTAGGGCTGTCTCTTCATCTTGGGCCGCTTTACGGGGAGTTTCCTTGGCGGAGGTCTGTGCAGCTGCTACCTGGTCCTCTCCATGTACCTTTGCACAATTCTTCAAGGTCAATGTGGCTGCTTCTCGTGATCTGAGTCCTGCAGTTCTTCTGGAACGTCCTTGATGCAGGTGGGTGGCATTCCTCATGACTGTGTTGGTACATGTCATCCACATCCACTAGTGCTTAGCACCGCCTCTGGCAGTCAGGAGGAATGAAACAGAATGATAGTTATGTATGTAACTGTGGTTCTGTGAATTCCAGATGACCGCCAGTGTTCCTCGTCATTCGGAATGCGCGAGAAAGCATTCAGAGGCTGGGCATTGAGCTGCTGTGGTTTATATCGCATCTCAGTCTACATCATGACGTGACTCTGTTGGTATTTTTTTCTCTACCTATTTAGCTGGCGCAGCGATTATCCACTAGTGCTTAGCACCGCCTCTAGCGGTCATCTGGAATTCACAGAACCACAGTTACATATGTAACTAGCGTTCTAGCATTACTGAGCAATGCTGAGAGATGTCCCTTTGTGCCACCCGGTGTTGATTTCTCAAACGGTTGTATTTAATGTCATGTCCTTGCAGCAGCGATACACTTGGCGGTAATAGGCATTGTTGGTTGACTACCTACTGTAGCTTGTATTATAAAAGACAGAACATAATTACTTAATCATTACATAATTAAGAATAATTTCTTACGATGAGAGATCCCCAGTAAGGAATACCACTATAGACAAAGATGGATTCTGCATAAACTGTAGACACAATGCCAAACAGGAGAGTCATCAGACCAATCATTATCTGGACAGTCTGTGTAGGACAAGAAAATTGTACATTCTGAATAGGACAAAATAGTCTTTCATAAAGTAAATCAGTATCAAATATACACTATACATTTTGACAGCTGTAGTAATGGACTTCTTATTGTATCAGAATATATATATATATATATATATATATATAAATAATAAATGTATATATAAAAATTAAAATCTACAAGTGTGCCATTTTCATTTTTATGAATTCACATGCTTATTCATATGCAATTCCATTACTTCAAATTTGTGATAGTTTGCTTCTAAAACATTGTAAATTCTACAATTTTACTCTCTAAATGACAAACCTTATCTTATGTTTGTGTCTTTACTGCATTGTTGTTACCAAGTCAAATTGTCAGATTGAAAACTGTGTATGCTTTGTTAATGTGTGTACCCCTCCTTCCTTAGAATTAAATCATGTACTTCTCTTACCTCGCACTGACGTGTACAAATAAAAAACAATTATTTGAGTGTACGAAAAATTTCTCACCCCAAGAGCTTTTGGTTGGCCTGTCAGAAATGCCTGGAGTCCATGAAGAGGTGAAAGTCCTGCTACCTGTTGGACATAAACAGGCGCAGGAGCATTTGTGGCAGTCCCAAATGCTGTTGTTTGTATTGGTGGTTGCAGCTGGATGACAAAAGAATTCAAGGGTATGGCAGTCGACATTCTCGTTTCAGGATCTCAAATTGACCTGTACAAAATCACAGTAACTCAAAACATAGAAATGATATGATTATAAAATAAATTTTGCATGTAAAAAAAATATAATTAAATTATCAAAATAGTATATATTATCATAAACATGGTTTTTCATATTGTTTTCTTAAAGAATTATTTCTTCCGTTTTTTTGCCTTTATTATGATAGGACAGTTAGTTGACAGGAATCGTAGTGGGAAAAAGAGAGGGGGGACGGGATTGGGAAAGGTCCACGAGCCGGGACTCAAACTTGGGACACTCAAAGCGCAACGCCACTGATATGGTAGCCGTGCTACCCAGTCTTCATATTGTTTGAACACTTATTATAGTACGCTAGTATAAACTAATATATATTTAAAATACATTTATTTAATACGAAGTATAGTTAAAATCTATTAACATATTTACTGCCTGATCGCTCGAGACTTACTGATATAAAAATGAGTATTAAACTTTATTTGGAGTACTACCTGTGCACAATGCACAATTTTTAATATTAAGCCTAAAATGTGTTTTAATGATCTTTGAATAATATAAGTCTTTAAATACAAGATATTTTAAATGTACCTAAAGTATATTTACAATAGTTCCACTTTAGCACAATCAGATATATTTCAGTATATCTTTAGTTGGACCTCAGCACTACTTATGCACAATTAAAGAACATTGCTGTTATTGTTCTAATTTAGCAGACTTTAACTATACAGTTCAGTATACCAAAAGTACAATTGTAGGGTATTTTTATTAAGTACATAATTATGTAAATGTGTTTGTAGTATACTTAGCATGAAATAAATGAATTTAAAATACATTTTAGTATATTTATTTTTCTAGTTATTAATATTGGTAGAGTTATTGTTATCAACTAGAATAACTCTATTAGACATTGAAAACTTGGAATATACTGTGAAACAAACAGCTCAATTTTAAACTGATCTATATCATTTACATTACATTTAGCAGATGCTTTATTACAAAGACACTTAAATAAACGCCCTACTAGCCATTATAGATGCACTTAATACCAAATAAAGAAAACCGATTTATTATTAACATTGTAGTTTTAAAGAAAGAAAGAAAGACATACTTGTGTAAAGGTAGTCAGATGTAGTGTAAGTATATATTTACTGTTTTACCAGGGGAAAAAAGCCTCTCTTCAGCTGGTTTTTCACACGTCACTGAAGTGCCGTTCACTCTTCAGGGATAAGCCAATGCAAATTCTTTGTCAAGTGTAATTGCTTATATTTTTTAAAGGGGAAGCAGGTGGAGCTCAGGTGATTATGAAAATTGGCGAAGCTGGCTGTTTCATGAGATAATAAGAAGTTTAAAAACAATGAAAACAGAAGTTTTCATAAATGTGTTTGTTGTATTGTTGTACTTCATAAAAAGTAATTTGCATGCTGGTTTGGAAATCAGGTGAAATTGCCATAGTGAAACCAGGTAACACTCTTTAGTTGATAATAGATAAAACCCTTTTGCAACTTAGAAGTATAATAAATCTGATACCATTACCATTCATTGTCCGCTTGTCAAATGAATTTCAATCTAATAGCATTGTTGTGTTGTGAGTGCATACTCATGTAAACAAATAATCATTATTCCAAACAAAGGGTTTACACTTTATTAGTTTGATACAGATTTGGAAAAGAAAAAAATATTGTTCCTCTAACATGTGCTTTTAATTTCCATTCTTTTCAAAAAGTTACTTTTTCATAGCTGTTAGTGTAAGCAGGCACACAGTCTATGACTGTTGGGGTTCTTGTTTTCAATAATCTCGTTATCCTGTTGGAACATTATTTAATTCTTTATTCTGGTATTGTTTGGTTTTGCATTTTAAAGATTTATTTATTTATTTACATTTTTTATTATCATTATTTTATTATTCTTTTTAGTTTAATCAGAATGGTATGGATCCGGGTGACTCTTAGTTTATACACTTGATGTATAAAAAGAGTGGACTTGATTTAGAAAAACTAAATTGGTTGTAAATGAATAGTTACACTTGAGTTGTTCTTGATCAAAATTGAAGTTAACACTTTGCAAAGTGTTGCAGAAGTGATGCAGCTGAGATAATTAGGTTTTATTTTATTTTTTATCTTGCTAGTTACTTTTATTTTTGCTGATAATTTAGTTTTGACTTAACAGATGTCTATTTTGTATATTTTTAGAATATGATTTGTATGAGTATTATTGTTGCTTTGAGTAACTAGTGATTAAACCAGTGTATCACAACTCAAAATCATAAACATTTAACTTCAGTTGATCTGTTTCACCTTCAATTTATTTCTGTAACAATATACAAGTGCTTTTAGTAAAGTGCTTTTGCAATTAATGAAAGAGAGTCAACAAAAGTTAAGTAAAATGCTCAACTACAGTAAACACTAATAACCATAATGGTGACTTCAAATTAAAAGTTCAAAACCTTCCAAATCAAAATCACCTAGCTAAACCTCTATTTTTTTTTTTTACTCAAGTTTATTCTCAAGTACTTTTGTAGATGAATGAAAGAAAAAAGTCAAGCTGCTTTTGGTATAAAAGAAGACGGAACTGCCGTTTTTAGAGCTGTTTAATCATCCTTTGCTGAGACATTGAGAGATAGTGAGAGATTATTTTATTTCAGTTCTCATCAGCTGTGTGTCCAAGTCCATTGTAGTTGTTGTGCTTCTGCTTGTTTCTTCTCTTTTTTTCTGTTCCTGTTGTTCCTCTTTCCTTCTGTGATTCTGCTTGTTTAGGTTTTCATCACAAATGATGCATCACTAATGCATCACTCTGAAAAACGGTAGTTCTCCAGGTGCAGGATTGGAGATGCCTGAACTAGTGAATACATAGGGCTGTACAGGCATGTACTGACTACACCATGGCATTACAGATGATTTTCTTTATTTTATTTTTTTTATACCAGGTGGCAATAATCTGTCTCCATTTAATGGCTTTTAGGCCATGTCCACACGTACACACGGGGAGTTTTTCCTTCTTCCGTTTAAAAAAAAATCTCCGTCCACATGAAAACGCAAACGCATGCTATGAAGCACTGTCAAGAGCATGCCAAACCAACATGTGGTGATATAATCTCAACCGTAAAGCCATGTTGGCCAATCGGAAGCCTGAAAAAGTTTCCAGTAGACGGAGATAACAGTGCAGGCGCCGACGTCACAAGTCAAAAACTCCGGTTAAGCTGTCTGCACGATAACACTGCAACCGGAGTTTTTGAAAATCTTCACCCTGGCAGGCATTTTCAAAAATGTTCGGTTTCAGTGACCTGGTGCTGCGTTTGCGTGTGGACGAACGGCCTAACCGCGTAGAAAAAGCTGCGGTTTTAAAAATAACCGCGTTCATGTGGACAGGGCCTTAAAGTGTCCCTATTATAGGTAATGAAAGGTTCATATTTTGGGTTTGGGAGTCCCCAACAACAGGTTGAAATGCATGTAAGGTCAAAAAATTTATTTATTATTTATTTTTACCTTACTTGCTCAATGACTCCCAAACAATTCGCTCAACGATTAATTTTTCCAAACCCCTCCTTTTGTGTGACGCTAATCTGCGGTGATTGGTCCGATTGGTCTCATTTCCATTTCATTTCTGAAATTCATTTCTCATTTCTGTAATGCCCGATAAACCAGCGTTTGTGAGCACAGTGCTGCTTTGTGTACAGCGTTACCGGGGAAACAGCTATTTTTTACCTCTCCAAAAGCAGCACCTAGTGGCAAAGAATGAATTTGCATTTTCATTCAGACCAATGCGAAAAGACCAACAAGTGGGCAGGCAATATGCTAATGTGTCATGTTGACGTCAACATGAAATGGCTTGGGATTCGTTTAAAAAACGACTTGTTTCAATGATTCAGAGTCGACTCTTTCTTTTGAGAGACAATAACTTTATACACGGTGCACTTTGGGATTTAAAACTTTGCAGGATGTTTTCATTCACTTAGAGCTGTGTTACACACACTGCATGAAAGGTAATTTTCAAAAATCCATAATAGGAGCGCCAAGTACTTTTGCTAAGTCAGTTTTTACTTAAATACTGCGTTAATTAAAAAGTGGTGTAAATATGTTTTTAAATTAATTTATACTATTATTTACATATAATAAATAAATGGTCTATAATTTAGACATGATTATTGTTTTGTAACATGAAATTCCCTCAAAATACCAAAAACTAAAGAAAAAATTATGAAATGAACTCTAGTACTTTATAAAAATGAAATTATTATATAATTGAAGTCTCTGTTCTGTTTTGACTGTGAACAATACATGTGTGACTCCTAAATAAACAATACCAGAAGCTTAAAGGGATTTTCTGCGATTTATAGTTGTTTATAATGAGTTAATAAAGGCAGTAACAAATTTTTGAATTTTCTAAAACAGACATGATATTTATTGGTTTTATCCATCCCAGTGGTGGCTGAAGTGCTTTTGAAGAGGGCAAAATAGGCTGTACAAGCTGAGCAGCATCTGGACACAGCCCTGCATCTAATACACAAAGAAAATCCAGTCTTACCATGCAAGCCGTTACACTACTTGTGCAATTGAAAAATTATACAACAATAACAGTTAAAAAAGGAAAGCTACCTTTTGCTTTGTGTAATAAATGTGTTTGAAGTTTTATGTTATAATGTACTGTATTTGTGCTTGCACTCCTTGCAGTCAGGAATTAAAATATGTACTGTAACTATGGGACAGAACGCACTCTTGGTTGGTTTGATCCAAGTCTAGGCTCTGTCATTTAACCCAGAATTTTGGGCTATTCATGTGACCCAATCAAAGCTTGAAATTAACTCCCATGCCCATGCCAAACAGTAAAGAGAAAAATATTTTATGAATTTTTAAGAATTCATCGATAGTTGTCTCTGAATTCCAAGGGTGATGTAGCCTCTACTTGGTACTTCAGGTTAAAACATAAAAATAAACGAAGAAGACAGCCAGAACAGATGTGAATTCATCCTGGAATGAACTGACTGGAAGACCACCCTTTCTTCTACATACTGTATGTAAAGTATTATTTGGGGGGGGGGGTCTACATAGTCTAAAACAACTGGTGTAAGTCTGACTATTGAATGACAACCTCACCACTCACAGATTCATCATCTGCATGGGTAGTGGTGACCTGCATGCAGAAAAGTAGACAGAAGTAGTGCTTATGTGTGAGAAAACATCAAATCTCTGAAAATATATTCATCGGCCATTTATTTGTAAAATAATTACATCAGCAAGAAGGAAATTGGTATCATGCTTCTCTCTAATGGCGCTTTTCCACTGCATGGCACGGCACGGTACGGCTCAGTACGGTTCACTTTTGGGGGGTTTTCCACTGGGTACAGTACCTGGTACTTTTTTTAGTACCACCTCGGTTGAGGTTCCAAGTGAACTGTACTGTTACCAAAACATGACGTGTAAACTCTGCTGATCACGGATTGGCCGGAGAGAATCGTCACTACCACTGAACTTGCAACATGAGACGCAACAGAACAGCTAGATTTAAATCAGCACAGCCAGCGAAGGATCGAACGCAACTGCACCTTTTTTTTAACAACCAAAAAGTTTTGTTGTCTGTTGCGGAAGAACTGATGTTCGTCTCGTTGATAGCAGAGGAGCGGATCCAGCGAGAGCTTGATTTTTAGGAGTCGTGGCAGTAGAGGCGGCACAAATATAACGACATGTGAATAATCCCGCAATAAAAACGCAAACCGAGCTGAGCCGAGCCGTGCCGTGCTGTACTGAGCCGAGTCGTACCATGCAGTGGAAAAGTCCCATAAAGGCCATCATCACCAATATGATAGCAATTGTTGAGTTCATGTATTTGCCTTGGGGAAGTTCAGTGTCAGCAAGGACAGTCTTCACTTCTTTTGTCCAGTGAAGAAGCGAAGAGTTTTGAAGAAATGGAGCACCCGCCTTCTTTTTCCAGCAATGCATTCTCTTAGTCTTTCTTCAGGCTTGAACTGAAGTGCTGCATTATAAACTTCTTCATAAATTTTCAATGAATTGTCAATTCATGTACATTAAGTGAAGGAGTAAATTTTATTGCACTATACTGTCTTAAGTTAAGGCCATCAAATCATTCACTGCTCCACTTGGTCCATCCTGACAGAAAATTAAACAGCTACTCTTTTTTTTCTTATGCAGAAAGTCTATTAACGCAACTGCACCTTTTTTTTAACAACCAAAAAGTTTTGTTGTCTGTTGCGGAAGAACTGATGTTC